CCAGCTCCTCTGGTTTGTACCTGGTTTGGCAGTATGGCTGGGCGGCGTGTTCCACCCCCCCACCACCCTTTGTGTACAGACGCGCCTTAAAGGCTCCAATCCAGCCGTGTCTTGAAAGAAGCCAGGGTACTCGGTTCAACACCGACATGGCTGGGAGGCTTGTTCCACGCCCCCACCACCCTTTGTGTAAAGAAGGACCTCCTTAGTTTCTACAACCAAAGCAAGCCGATTCACTGCGGTGACCATGAATATAACTTAATAGAGCTACTCCAATTGCAGGATAAAATATCAGGACTCACAGCCCACCGAATTGAACTAGAAACAAGAGACATCTCTTTACTCTGCTGTTACCCTACTGTTATTTTGAAGCCATCCTCTAGATGAACTTTGTTGGATGCATTTCAGAAATGTAAACACTTTTAGTACTTTCCTATACAATCTCAATCCCAGAGTTAAAGAGATTCAGTTCCTTTAAATCTGCTGTTGTAAATCATTCCCTGGTGCCCTTCTCTGGATTGATACCAGAGCAGCTGAAACCTTCTTCTCCAAAACAGGCTGCACAGTAGGGCAGTGGTGAGCATTGCTGCCTCACCCAGCGCTGGGGGCCCTGGGTTCAATTGCACATCTGGGGTCCTGTCTGGGTGGAGTTTGCATGTTCTCGCCATGCTCATATGGGTTTCCTCATACAATCCAAAGGCATGCTGGTGGGTTAAGTTAGCTTCCGGCAAATTTGTAACTGCTATGAGTGTGTGTCCTGGGATGGACTGACGTCCCACCCAGGGTGTGCCCTGCCTCTGGCCCATGGCTTGCTGGGAGAGGTTCTGTACGGCATAGAGCGATTCGAAAATAGAATAATCAAAGACTATTTTCACTTTGTCAGTGTCTGCTCCTTGCTCTGGTCCAGAAGCAGCTCTTCTGACGGGATAACAACATCGTGCAGCTCTCAGTTTAGATCTGGCCTGGGCTGCAGGGCAGTTACGAGACACAGCCTGAAAAGGCCCTGAGCCC